GACAGACATGGCGTGCGATTTCTCAAGGACGGCAAAGGCCCAGTCGCGGCGAGCTTGGAACAGCGACTGCCATGATTGCATATCCGTGTTGTTCGCGAGGAACTTGGGCGGGTCTTCCGGCGTGAAGACATCTGGGAGCGGTGTAGATGGGATGGTTCGCTGAGACCCGTTCGATAGCTCGCGGCTGTATACGAAGATGTCCTTCTCGGTAAGCAGCGCCTGAAGCTTGACATGCTTGCCAGCGGGCGTCAGCAATACTTGGAGCTCAGGCGGAATATCCGCAGCTCTCGCGATCCAGTGCTTGAGTGCATCGACGGATGCGAATGCAACGGGATCAGCGTCGAAGCGCTGGCCCGTGTGAGCTACAGCAATCTGCAGCGACATTCGGCAAACCCTCCTGCTGCGTTGAGGAAATCATGCAGCAGGTGTGAGAGGAAAAGTAGAGGTTCATGGTACTCTCATGAATGTCAACCGCCAAGCAGGCACGCGCAAGGGTTCGGCGCACGGTCGGCGACCATGCATCATTCACGCGCGCGATAAGTGATAGTCACATGTGCTGCCTGGGTCACTCACTTGCGCAAAACACAGTCTGGGATCGCGATAACGATGGCGAACAAAGGTGATACTGTTATGGCGGACGCAAACGCCAAATCACCGGATTTGGGCGACCTTGGTGATTTGCTCCAAACAAATCACAGCGACGCGTTGGTGTTTACCGAGACCGAGAACTTAGCCCTGGAGCTTTATGATCAGCTTCGAGAGCTTGAGCTGCAACAGAGCTTATTACGAGCACAAGAAAGAGGTAAGCCATACCGTTTCCCAAATCTTTGGGGTTCAAGGCTGACACAAGTGCAGCACACGTGCCTGATGTCTCAAGTCTCTCAGATGATGACTTGCGAGAGCAGCTGATCGCGGCCGAGCGCGAGGCTATGGAAGCAAAGGCAGAGTATGAATTGCGCAACAGAATCATCCACAATGTCCTTGTCACAGACCCGGTGCTCAAAGCCGTCCATGGGGGTGACGAGGCTAGTTTCGCTGAGAAGTGAGTTCTTTATTTGTTTCTGTAAAGATTGGGCTGACATCGAGAAGACGCCTGCTCCCTATCATCACAGAGAGTGATACCGTCGCTATGTTGCAAGGCCGCTTGGCTTCCAGGCTCGCTTCATCTACACGTGCTCTGATCACAGCAGAGCAGGCGAATATCGTTGCGAACCAGAAAAATCGCCAACTCTCGAAGACGATGCTGGCTCTGGCAGAAGCAATGAAGGCACAGTCAGCAGAAGACATTGAGGACCCCAAGCTGCGCGAACAGATCAAGACTGTTGACAAGGAACTAAAGGAATCAAGGAGGAGGATGAAGACACTCAAAGGCATCCTTTCGGCGATGATCGTTGGCAGCGGCATTAATTGGGCAGCGGATGAAAGCTTAACCAGGCTGGTGCTGGACGATGAAGATGATTGAGAGCTCACTCCTGCAGACGGCGCAGATCGAAATACAAGTTGGCGCCCATCAAAGACACGTGTGGATGTGTCTTTCGACTTGCTGCTGCGAGCACGGCGTATCCTCGCATTGCTTGCCACGGACAAGCGGGGATCCAAGCTAGGCAAGCGCAGCCTTGCGCCTCGGAAGACGCATCAAGCAGCAAGGACACCTGAAGTGCGAGAGCGAGAGCGAGGCACTTTTATTCTAAGATGAGCTGCGACGAGCTGTGGAGAAAGACAGTGCTTCAAAGAAATGCGCAGGGAGAGAGCCCAAGCTGCATATGACGTAGTTGTTGATAAACAGCTCCCGGAGCTTTGGAGCTAGGACTCGAGAGCTTGAGACGTTGATGTCGAGATCCAGCGCGCCTCCGCGAAGAGAATGGAAGATGTACGATCGTTGCGATGACGAGCTGATGAACCAGATTGTTCGTTGACTTCTTCATTGAATCTCGATGTCACGCGTGAGGCAAGTGTGGAGCGTGACGCAAGATGCGACGCCTGCTTCAATGGCGGTGCGGCGTCGATCAATGAGCTCACCACAACAGCTTGCATCGCGGATTGATATTGGATTCAAGCTGGCAACAACAACGCCTGATGAGGAGTCTGAGGAGTGCAAGTGAATCCCGCTTATCTGAAGGCCTCCAAGCGCACGTTAGAAGCGCAATGGGCCCAGGCCTCGCCCAAGCTCGCAAGTCACGGGCACTGCGCAGCAAGACAGCCAGCCGTCTTTGTTGCTGGAAACAGGCCAGGCGCATGAAACTCGGCTCGCACGCAACGGCGAAGCCGCAACATAGCATTTGCTGCGGGGTTAGGCAAAGAAGCTGACGGCCGGGGCAGTCCAAGCGGGTTCTCGAGAACATCGAAGATTGCAGGCAACCCCTTTCGACGGCGTGCGCGGTGGGCTGGTAGGCGGGTGAGCGAGTCACATCAACCAGCCAACAACCAGAGTGATATCAAGGGCGGCTTTGCGCAGGATAGACCAGTCGCAGCACGTATCAACTGCAGCGCGCAATTTTACTGCTCGAAACCAGCCAGGCAAGGTTGGAATCCGACCAGCCGCGCCCTAGATGCTGCACGTCGTACGTCGCCTTGCGCTGTGCTGAAGGCTCGCAGCAAATGCTGAAGTAGACAAAAGTGCAATATCGATGCAAATTCTGCCTGAACGACACTGGAGATGGCCAGAAGCACTCGATTGACTCTAGAAGTTTCGCCGATATTGTTTGCAGCCCGTGTGCTGCTGCGAAGTTCCCGGCGTTGTTAGGAGGGGCTCGCGCCTGCCATAACATCAGTTTTCGTCACATGACCATGCTTGGCTGGAGCAGCTGCGTTTCCGGGTCTGCAGTGCTCGCCCTCATACTGCGAGCGCTGCTCTCTTCCCATACAAATCCTCTCCATACAAACTGCCTCCACCGCAGAACACAACTTTGGTGAGTCTCGCTTGCACTATATCACTCCGACTTGAATGTCAACACAACCACGCACCTATATACTAATTTACGCGCGTTTACTGGCCTCAATTCGCGTCTCTGCAGCTTGTCCTGCCCTCTTTTCAGCGAAATTCGAGCGTCGTCGCGTTCCATTTCTATTTATCGTCGTCGCGCTGCACAACAACAGCACGCATGCTAACCACCATACAGACATCAGTCAACCCATTGAATTCTACCGATCCCGAAACCTCAAGTAAGTCTTCTCAGCTTCCATCCTCGCAAAATCGCGCTTCTTGCGACGCATCGCGGTGATTTGTGACCGCGTCACTCTGCACGCGCCGCAAGATGCTGCTGCACGCATGTCACTCATGTACTCCCACCACCCACCAACGCCGTTACTGGTGGTTCCACTATCATTCACTTCGTCTTTGCGTCATTTAATCGACGCGAACACTCAGCACCCGAACAACCCTTCACCTTTCCACACCCACCTGCTAATAACCCATGCAGCACAACAACATGCCTAAGACCGAGAAGGTAACCCGCGGCAAGGGCAAGAAGGCCGATGCTGGCAAGAAGAAGAAGGGTAAGGTCACGTGTAACAACGTTCGCGTGCACTTGTTAACATCACACAGACCCCAACGCGCCTAAGCGTGGCCTTTCCGCCTACATGTTCTTCGCCAACGAGCAGCGCGACAAGGTCCGCGAGGAGAACCCCGGCATCAAGTTCGGTAAGTCGACGTCTCTCAGATTCTGTGCTGCACGTGCTAATTCTTCGCAGGTGAGGTCGGCAAGATGCTTGGTGAGAAGTGGAAGGCTCTCTCCGAGAAGCAGCGCGCTCCTTACGAGGCCAAGGCTGCTGCTGATAAGAAGCGCTACGAGGAGGAGAAGGCTGCGTACCTTGTAAGTTCCGCACGTTCGAGGCATGAAAACTTGCTAACAGTCCTTCAGGAGAAGGCCGATGACGAGGAGGAGGAAGAGGAGTCCGAGTAGAAGCTTACTTCACTCGCTCTCTTCCTAGTCTAATATGCACTCATGTGCTTCGTCTTTCAGTGCTTTGGTTAGGCGGTATGGTGTCACGGGCGGCTCAAGGATCGGTTAATTCACATGGTTCATCTTAAAGGTTCTATGCGGAAGCTGCTAGCGATCTGGTTCATTTGACGGACTGCCGCAGTACAGCTTCACCAAAGCAGACATAGCTTCGGCACTCGTCTATGACGTATGGCTTTCTCTTAACACCGAGGGCGCAGAAGGCATCACGACGCTCATGATCTTTGTACAATAGTCAACTGCGGTTTCAACATCTTTGTCACACTCTTCTCTGCTGTACTTGTGTGACTCCATGAACGGAGCGATCTGGACTTCTTTAGTCTCATGCTTCGCTCGACTCGCACGGCCTTGCAGTACGGTGAGGGCAGCCGTCCAGTGCAGTAGGCCTCAAGACATGTTGCGCCTATCACCAAGGGAGGGCGGTGTTTACTGGAGTCTGGATCGACGCGTACGCGTAGTGCTGCTCATGCCTCGGTATATCAGATCCCAGCCCTATCGTCAGGTACGAAGCGCGTTGGTTACTCACTTCATACATGGAAGTGCCTCCGCCAGTCTGAGAGCAAAGCTCGGTGTCGTGCTCCATCATCACAAAGCCGTTTTCTAGAGTTCCTATTCGTGTAGAAAGCCAACTTCACAAGGTCACAGCATGTAACCGCTGACTGTGTCATGCCGGCTACGTCGGAGATCTTGCGCGACAGAAAAGCCTACTTCACACCTCATTCTCGCTTTCTGCGTCCTTCAATAGTCACGCTCGTCCAATTTCACTCTGTTTCAAAAGCTCATTGCAGCGAGTTTGCAAGGCTGCTTTGTTAGGTGAGGTTTCACCGGACGCCGCTTTACAGGGTCCGCGATAGGAGGCGGTGAGTAGTCCCGAATCTTGCATCATCGTTACTTCCTCAGCAAACGACTAGCTCAGAAGCGTCGTCATTTTCATCGAAGGTACATGATCCGGTGTGAAAGAGCTCGATGGAGGGATGGTTTCAAAATTTATCAAGAATATATTCATTTTTGTCTTCAGTATCTTAATAATCAACTACGAAAGCATCCGTTGTGCAGTGGTTAGCATATCTGCTTCCCACCTATGGTGAAAGCAGGGGGTCGCGGGTTCGAACCCCGCCGGATGCATGTCCTTTTGCTTTTTGTTGAAACCTGTAACATCGAGGTCGTGGTGAGGGAGGCTCGCTTTTTGCGTGGTGAAGCGGCGTTGTCACTGGGGCGCTAGTGAGGAGCTCCCGAAAGCTCGGCAACCTTAAGATCATCCACGATGATGTCTTTATTCAGAATGGCAGTGAGATTGCGAAGCGTGGAAGGATGTGTTCTCCCTGGCGCCAGAGCATTCGTGACAGCGACGGAGGGAGCTGGCTCTTAGCACGACCAGAGCCTGGAGGCACTCAATACCACTTGAACACGCCGATAGCGGCTCTGAATCAAACTTTCGATTTTGCCTTGTGACCCAGTCCACGAGACTGGCTTTGATTTAAAGGAGCCTTTCCATTCAAAAATCGTGTACAACCCAAACGCCTTACTATGCTACTACGGTTGCAGTGGGTACTCTGCCCTGGGGCTAAGCTGCGATCCAGCGCACCTCCATCTTTTGACATGACCTGTCTGCAATATGTCCGGTGTGCTCCCAATACCTCCGCTTGACAATCCCTGCCAGCATCATTCCCTCTGCAATACCACCATCAATCCCATTATCCCCAGCATGACCTGCTTCAGCCAAGGGTGCTCGCTCAGTAGGATCGTGACGTAGCCCACAAAGGGAATGAAGCCGACCACGCTGCCAATGACGTCTTCTTTGCGGTTGAGGAAGGACTGGCCCTGTGCGTATAGTTCGGTGTCGTCCGCGAGGTTGTTGTCGCCCTTGGTGAGCAGGCGGAGGGGTGTCTTGCTGTGAGCTCGTTAGCATTGCTCCCCAAGCTCGAGATACCAGCACCAGGCGCCGTAGGCCTCAATTCCCGTGTGTTATAGCAATGTCTCCTGGATCTTGGCTCCTCTGCGCTTGCGACATCCCAAGGAAAGCTGTACTTACTTTCCACCATATCTCCTCACCACTCTGTGCACAATTGGGATGTCCTTGCCCTTCACATTGTACACAACGATCTCTCCGACCTGTGTGTCCAGACCCCGATTCCACAAGAACAGCAGATCTCCTCTCTGGAACGCGGGCTCCATGGACCCTGAAAGTACGACGACGATTGGTGAAGGCGAGTCGCTGACCACGGAGAGGCCTTTCCACATCATGAACGCGGTAGAGAGAACGAGCGCGAAGTTCAGGACTTGCGCGGCGAGTTGCCGGGGCTGCATGCCTGCGACACCGAGCATGACTGCAGTTTGGGGCGGATGTGGAAGTGGTGTACGGCGCGGTGGACGGTGCTGTTTGATTACGGCGGGGGTGTATGTGCGGCGACCGCAGCGCTGGGCGACTCTTCGCAGGCTTCCGTGGTGTTGTGTTGAAGCTCTTGGTGCTTGTCGTAGTGAGCTTGAAGCCAGATGTCCTGAGATTGGTTGATTGGCCGCTTATCGATATGTAACTTCCGGATGTACTCCGCTCCAGTACTTCAACAACATGAACACCTTGACGATCTGATGAATATGTCCATAAAGGCCAGTGAGCACCACAGTCGAGGTGATGTTGACTCCAATATGACAATGAGGTATCGTTTGCTCAGCCCAAGGATGGGTGAGCCTTCGTCTTCTCTCACCTCGCGAACAGCTATGCTTCAGCTACCTTTACCTTGACTTACGATGGGATGCTGTTATATTTAAGAGGTTCGGAGCTGCTTGACCGTCACTGCACTTTTCTCCCCTGCTATCATCCTCTCGTTTACATAACCTCAATTCTCCTCCACTTCCGATTGCCATCTACAATTAACCGGTCACAGCGCACTTCGCACATCCTCAAAGCGCCTGAACTACGTCTACCGTGAAGACAGTCGCTGATCTGGAATCTGTACCATGGTAGCTCAAATGATCGCAGCGCAGAAGCTCTACGGCTGTACGCCGGGCGCCGTAGTTCTGTTTCGAGAACCTGGAGCGATCGGCCCTCTGTGGCCCTCGATCTACCTCACTGATGATGCAACGCCCGAAGCGTTCTTGCGGACTCGCCCCAGAGGCCTATACTCCATCGTTCTGAAGCTGGGTCGAGTGCTGGACACAACTCATCTGTAAGTCTGAGCCATGTCGAACTGTCAATTACGATGCTAACGACCTCAGCCGATGGGCTCAGACATCACAGATGGAGCTATTTGACCCTTGCGCCGCAGACACAGAAACGAAACGCATGACACCCAGACTTCAAGAGGCTTACGATGCTGCGCTCGATGCTATCGACGCTCAATTCGACTTGAGTTATTGGAAAGCTATCCTAGTATCAAGCCAGACTCCAGAGCTCGGTGCCAGCGTTCCTGATTATGGCGATCTCGAGAATGACCCAGAGATGGAACAAGCAATCCGGATGGGGATTGTTGATGTTGGTCCGCCAAAGAACCCAATTCGAAAGGAGCTACCAGCACCACAGGGAAGGTTTACGTCCAGCTCCTCCAGTTCTTCACCTGCACGCCCCCGCAACTTTATCCCAGACCTGCACAAGAGCGAGTTGTCGCTGCCTCTTCGTCAGCGTCCGCAACCACCTCCGACGCTGCTGACACCAGCACCCTCTCCTCCAAATGACCGCAACGCTTTCGGCTTCTTTTCTCGACCTTTAAAGCGCTCGAGTCCGTCTGGGTCGTCACATTCGGATGATGATCTTCCCTCACCCACACAAAGGAGAAAGTTCGATGCGTGTCCTGGCACAGGGCGAGTTCATGGTTATGTGACATCTTCCCAGTCTACCGAGGGCACCCAGTATATGCCATTCGGTATCTCAGATTCAGAGGAACTCGACGATGACTTGCCTCCACCGCCTCCGAGGCGAAGATCACGCGTCGCGAACGTAGGAAGGCCGTCGCAGCACATACCTCAATCTTCAGCCCGCAAATTGAAGGGAGCAGCTACATCACAATTCACTGCACGGGAAGTCTTTCGTCGCAATGGGCTCAACGCTCCCACACCGGCAGCACCAGATGCTGATGTGATCGAGGGAGACCTGTAAGTTCGAGTTGCGAGTAAGGACTGAGCCTAGTCTGACGTGTTGCAGTGACGAAAGCAATCAGTTCGTGCAGATCTTTGTCGGTCCTGAGATGGATCCCACGAATGACAGCGACATCGATCCGCTTCGCCGACGGTACAAATTCCAGCTCCTGAAGCACAATCTGTGGGACAAACCGTATCTCAGGAATACTCTTTCGGCTAAGAACTACATAGAGCCGATTGGCGACAACACATGGGAGCTCGTCCATCCCAGACTTGTTGATATTGCGCCAGAGGATTTTCGCTGGGCTGCGGAGTACCTGTCGGACGGCGACTTTGGCCACCGAGAACCTGAGACGGAGGAAGAAGTCGCAGATTCCTTCGCACAATGCATGTCCGCGTGGCGTACTGCCGAGCTCCTAGACATGGACGATATGCTCGACCACATCGTTGACAAGATCCGCGCGTCTCAGCCTTGGTGGGATCTTTGGAATGTCATGGCATTTACCGTTTCCATCTACCAAAGCGAAGTTGCTTTGCAGGCGCACGACGAGCTTAAGGCGCTATTCTCGGAGTATATCGCAGAGTTGTTCTACATCTACCTAGAAGACGATCACCTCAGCAGCACATTTACTGCTCGTCTTAAACAACTGCCAGAGCTCGAGAGGGATGTACTGAAGAAGCGGTCCGCGCAATTAAAGCGTCGAGCGCAGCCTGGGGAGGGAGAAGATGTAATGGTCGAGGAGGAGCAGGAGGACAATATGGATCTGTACAGCTGATCAAGGTGTCAGAGTGCACGCTCATCAAACCGCCAACAGCATGGTTACAAGACTCGAGTCAGAGCTTCTCACGGGTAGAGGCGACGGGTCGAAGTAAGAGCAAGTTCTTTTAAGTATTCCAGCGCGGAGGACCTTGTTTTAAGTTTGCATTTCTTCGTTTCTATGAATACTTGCGACAGCTCGTTGAGAGATGTTCCCACACCAAGGACGGCCGAGGTTTGGGCAAGGACTTGTCTCAACCCCAACGATTTTCTCATGGTGACCATCACCTTTGTGAGTCCAGTAAAGGGTTCAACGAATGTGATTCGGTATGGCGGCAACAGCTCGAATTTGGGATGAAGACTGGACAAATCCGGTAACTCAAGAATAAGTACAACTACATTGATATTCTTGCGCTTGTCGGTTACTCTACCACAGCCCCTTGATCTCTGACAGCCTCTGTGTCGGCTCGATCACTGTATTGCTATCCGTCGTGGTCGTCCTCGACATGCTTCCCGTGTCCCGGAAAGTAGGGAAAGCCGCAACGTCGTTATCTGCACTTGCGTCCCATCCTAGTGTCTCTTCCTTCTCGTAGTCCATCGGCGCCCACGCCGCTTCTTCTTCTTCCTGCATTCTGGTGTCATTGTGTGGGACAAACAAGCTCTCTTCATCCTCATCCTCGGCTTGTGTGGGCGCTGCTTGGGACTGTGATGGTGCTGACAACGGCTGCCGTGAACCTGGATTGCGCAAGCGCCCGTTTTGGTCACGCCGTGAAGCCGGCTGGACTGGTGGTGGCATTTCTGAGCGCATGCTGCGTGTATCAGTGCGCTCTGAAGCGGCCGATGGTGCATGTGAGACTTGCCTGCTGTGCTGCTGGGGGGGTGCAGGCGTTGGTGTGGGCGGCGCTCCCGTGTAGTCGCCGGAAGTCATGAGGGTGAACTCAGCTACAAGGCCGTCGCAGCCGTAGCTGAATTGCAATGGCCGAGTCGGCGCGGAGTAGTAGGCTTTGAGACTGGTTTTGAGGGTATCCGCGTGCAGGACAATGGCCTTGAAGTCCTTGACACTGATGACGATGTGCAGCCCGGCTTGTACGCTGAACTCTTCAAAGTCGGAAGTGTTGACAGCGACTGCTGTAACAAGCGGGTGCTTCAGGATTTCCTTGCCGTCTGAAATTTTCTCAGTATAGCTCTTGAAGACGCATCGACCGTCCTCGCCAGTGAAGATGTCCAACAACTCAGTCTTAGTGCCGAAGTACTCAATGTATTCTCGGATGGCGCCCGAGTGCATACTCCATCG